ATGTTATGGAGAAAAATAAATTAAACAATATTTGCCTAAGCATTACATCTGAATTCCTTACCAAATTAAAAAAAAAAAAAAACGAAAAACAAATACTAATAATAGAAATAACAAAAAGTAAAAAATAAAATAAAATTAGTGAGCGCACGAGCACGTTTTCGACACCGCCATCTTTGGCGATTTTTCATTTCTTTTTGGCATAGCTAAATGCCATGAAATTTTACAGATGGGTACTTCACATAATGAAGAACCCGCTAAAAAAAATTCAAAAAATAATAAAATTGTTTAGACCCCGAACTAAAGTGAAAACAAAGAGTAAAAAGTGAAAAACAACGCGGGCGTGCATGTTTTGGCACCGCCATCTTATTTGGATGATCCAAATAAATTGAAAATTCATAGGCATGTACCTCACGTCGTAGAGAACTGACACAAAAAAAATTCAGAAAAAGAACAATATTTTTAGTCCTCGAAATATTTTTTGGCGGAGGCCGAACGCCGTTGAGTTCGGACCCCGTACAGGACCCCGAACGCCCCTACGTACGGAGGTCTGCCCGGGGACATCCGTACGTACGGGCTGGTGACCCTGCGGAAGACTACAATATACATTAGAAAAATGCAAAAAATACCAGAAGGCATAGTGATTGGAATTTTTTTATCAACATTGATTTAGTCATATACATTATTCCTTCTTGGATCAGGATTAACAAAAAAAAAAAAAAAAAAAATTAAATGTTAGCAACTTCGCATAAAAAGTATTGTTAAAAACTGTTACGAATATACGACACGTAAGACTACAATTTGCATTAGAAAAATGCAAAAAATTCCATAAATAAAGGCATAGTGATTGGAATTTTTTGAATTCCTGAATTCCAATCACTATGCCTTTATTTATGGCATTTTTTGCACTTTTCTAATGCATATTGTAGTCTTACGTGTCGTATATTCCATTCCTTCTTTGATCAGGATTAAAAAAAAAAAAATTTAAATCTTACGATGAATAGCTTTAAAAAAAGTTTTATTGAAACCTGTTACGAATATATCCTTTCAGGTTTGTAAAAGATCGCCGCGTTAACATTTGATCTCTGAACGCACTGATTCTCGACAACTTCAACATTCATCAGTGAGCCTCTTGCTGTGTTCCTTATACCAACATTCACCCCCTACAGGTACCAAACATAAAAAGTATTAGAAACATATAAGTGACCAGATAACCACCGAAGAAGACTCTTTTGGCAGCTTTTGCCAGTTTTTACCAGTTTGTTTTGGCAGTTTTGGGCACGTTTTGGCAGTTTGTTTTGGCACTTTTTGGCAGTTTTTAGTAGTTTTTTTTTGGCAGTTTTTACTACTTTTTAGTAGTTTTTTTTTGGTAGTTTTTGGCAGTTTTTTGTAGTCGTTTTTTGGCAGTTTTTGGCAGTTTTTGGCAGTTTTTGGCAGTTTTTGGCAGTTTTTGGTCAGCAGCTTTTGGCAGTTTTTAGTCGTACCTCTGTGAGTGAGCTTGATCTCAAGATGTTCAGAACAAGCGCCATTGACGGCTTGAATCGGCTGCAAAGTCTGAAGTTCCCATGGAGTGCAAGATTAAGTGCTTCTTGAGCTCCTCCCCATGCAGATTTAAGGAAAACCTGGAATGCTCATAAATGTCAGGCATTGTAAATTTCTAAGGGGAAAAAAAAAAAAAAAAAAAAAAAAAAAAAAAAAAAAAAAAGAGGCACTCGTGGAATGAAGCTCACTGGGAAAAATGGTTAACAAGACAGACGTTAAAAAAAAAATAAATTGTTCCGAATACTTCCGATGGGTTATCGGTTCGGGTCGGATAGTCAGCTATCCTCGCTCGGTAAAAAAAATGGTAAACCTTACTAAAAAGTAAATACGAGAAAGGCATATGATATGACAGTAACTGTCAAGAAGGACCTAAACAACAAAGGGTATGAAGTACTATGAACTTTAAAGTTTTGCGAACTAGTAACTTATATATATCGTCACATAAATATATCTATAACTTATACCCCTCGTTTGTTGTCCTCTTCTCTCTCTCTGCCTACGGTTTACCGGGCAGTTCTGTTTGTGACGATATATACTACAACTTCGCTAGCTTCCTGCTACGTTTTTTTCCGGTCAGGTCGAGCGGCAGTGGTCGGGGCCGTTACTCGGCGGCCATGCTGTGCCTCTAGTGCCAGCGGCGTGTCTGGAGTGTATTTTTTGGCTGTGACAGACCTTTCTTTGTTTCGTGGATGTTTTGCTG